TTTGTTTCTCGTCTGACGTTAACTTTTTTGTCAAGTTATATAACTTCCATACTGTTTACTTTATATTAGTGTCGAGTTTGTGCTCTAAGAATGGTTCAAGAGTATGTACGACCTTTGCTGCTTTTGTTACATATTTTGCTTTTGAATTTTCACAACCTTTTTTGTGAGGTCCTCACACAGACTGCTTACTTCTATTGTAGAAGGTGTTGCATATTTGTGAAGGGAAGCATAAAATATTTCGGATGTGCATTTTTCACAATTGTTTTTATGTAGTTTCTTTTCTGCTTCTGACAGCTTGCACCAATTAAGTAAATTGTGCTTTTCTAGAAATATGCTTTTTTCTCCTGATTTATTATTATTTTTTCAATATTTGGCCTTGCTTAGGTAGTTTTGTAATCTTGGGATACGGGATTTAAATTCTTGGAGTGGAATATGCATTTTGGGATAGCTCTGCATACAAGCATGGTAATTCTCACATCTTGCTTTGACCTTGATGTATTGTCTGTGATTTGGCACATGGACAAGGATTTTGTTTTCTTTACTTGGTTGATCATTCCACCATTTTTAAGTTTCTGGATCTTTAGTTGACCTTGCCAAGATCACTTTTGCAAAATTACACAAATTAATTCTTTCTTAATTATATCACATATTAGCTTAAATGTTCCACTGCTGTGATGACCTTGCAATGTTATGTCCTCCATTGCTTGTTTGTTTTGTTTAAAGATTACTTAATTTTTGTTTTTGTTGTAACAAAAAAAATATGTGTAAATTTTACTGAATAAATAAAAATAGTAAGTAAAATGTATTTTGTTATTAGATTCTAATTTGTAGTTTGAAAGATGTGTAGAGGCTAATGAAGTCAAGATCATTATTTATTAATTAAAAAATATTTGAAGAATATATACAGGTGATATATGCAGGAACAATTGTAAATGATTTTTGTCATTTTTTCATTTAACTAAATGATTTCTAATTAATTTTTAACACACTAAACAATACCATCGAAAGGGAGATAATTACTTTTATTATCTGCCTTTGTTATTAAATGGACAAATCCATAAATTGAGGCATACTCTTTTGTGTTTTTTTATTACAAAGTAAATGGAAAGTTTGGTTTTTAAATTATCTCATTCAAAAATATATGTTAGAAAGAATGAAAGTTTTTAAAACTGTGCGGGGCCACTAGGCCATTCTACCCACTTTGCACCAGCAAAGAATATTTACATACATGTATGTATTTGCCTAGGGAGGGAATTGAACCCTCATACACAGTTGAAGAGAGAAAAATTCAATTGAAAAAGTTTTCTTAGTATTTTGAATTAAATTGAATATCAACAGATTAATCCAGAACATTTTCTCTCCCATTTTGTTTTAAAAAATCTTATTTTAAGTATTTTTTTAATAAAAGGAGATGATTTCTTTGATATATTCAACTGATCATAAAAGCTAAAAAAAAAAAAAGCAAGATAATTCTGCCCTAGTTAAATGATTTATATTCTGATAAATTTGAGTTCAAATACATGTATAAAGTCTGTAATTGAGGTTTTATTGAAGACTCGTTTAAAGATGTGCTAAAGAAAAAAGTGTAAAAAGAGCAGTCGAACCACTATGCATCAATATAGAATTGAGGAGATGTGGTATGATTGCCAATGAGATAACTATATATATCCACCATAGACCAAAATGACGTAGATGTAAGCAACTATAGGTCAATGTATGGCTATCAACTATGAGCAAAACCTATACTGTAGTAAGTTATAAAAGCCCCCAACATTACATGATCACGGAGAAAAAAGTTATAGGACTGCGCAGGCTTCTAGGCTTCTGCCCACTTTGCACCAGCAAGTATGAATATGGTAAATTCAGAAATTATTGCGTGCATTTTTTATTGCGATTTTTGTCTCGCCTGCGACGAAAGTTGCAGAGTGAGATATAGGTATTACTATCCGGCGTCGGCGTAAACTATTTGTATAAAGCTTTATATTTCAGAAGGTAGAAGACCTGGATACTTCATACCTTGTATGCAGATACCTTATGTTATGAACTTTCCGTCTGTCATATGTCCATTGTCCTTGACCACATTTTCATGGTTCAGCGACTGCTTGAAAAAAAGTTTATATTTTTTTGTTATGTGAATTTTTCACTTATAATGAGTAACAGGATAACTATATTTGGTACATGGGTTCCTTACAAGGTCTACATGTCCGTCAGGATTCACCTGACCTCGACATCATTTCATGGATCAGTGATCAAGGTTAAAGTTATGTGATTAGGTCCGTTTCTCAGATACTGTAAGAGCTTTGATGTGCGACAGTACTTCTAACAGGAAATTCTATAGGCTTCGTGGACAAAACTAAGATGTATGCTACTGTGAAATCATTGAAAATGGAACCGAAATAAATCTATACTTTATTTGTGATGCCCCTCATCTAATGAACACATCTAGAAATAACTTGGAGAACTCAGGATGGAACAACAAACCCAGAAATTTAAAAATGCAATAGAGGCCGTCCGGGATGTAGGTCGGAGACATTTGGACTGCCACTGGAAAATGAGGGTAAATTGGATTGGGACAGAAATTTAGCCTTGCAACAGGCCACCTACGGACCCACCAAAGTGTTGTTGCAAGGATGTTTAACGTGCAGAGAGCGTGGCGCTCTCTTCACGTGGCATTGGATTTTACGTCCCAATTTTTACCGGACGTGACTGCGTACTTGTACATACGGCACAGCCAAACGGACGCCACACTTTGGCAAGTAGACCTGTAATGTCCATACCCCCCCCCCCCAGTAACCTTTGGTTAGGGGGGACAAGTTATTGAAAGATAGGCGGTTACGCGACGCCTTGTTTTTCCTGTCAATATAATACCTTCATAATGGAAGTATCTTTTTTTTATTAATAATACACTCATCCAGAGACATTTGAATTGTTCGATTGCAAATAAAAGTGTATTGATTAAAAAAAAAACGAAGAAATATGGACATTTTTAAATTATGCGACTTTTTTAGTAACTTATTTCTTATACTTATCGTTATATTTATCCTATTTTATAAAAAAAAAAAAAACCAACCGATCCAGATGTACAAAAAGTAAAGAAATAATTGCATTCTTATTCAACACAAACCCAAAAGTATCTTTTATTCTTATATTTGTCATCAGTCACAAATCTGATAATAAGCAAGGTACTTATGGAAATCACAATCTTGGACGCACAGTATTGGTGTACCACTATTAGTGGAACACGAGAGATGAATTTATTCAAATAGAAATATAACCCAATTATAATATTGCTCTACGATTTACGAACGCTCATAAAAGGGCTTAGGCTGAAAACAAATTATATGAATAACATAGCTGAGAGATTATTACCCAGAGAAGACATTGTCAACCGAGGCGATGACATGGGTGACAATTTGTTTTTCGAGGGATAATAATTTGCCCTATAACCCTCTCAGCTATGTGTTATTTAATTTATTATACTGGATGTTCTGTTATAACCGTCTAAAACATTTCAAATTCAGAAAAATAAACTATGAAAGCGCACAATTAATCGAGCGTCTCCGTGAAGGGTAATACAGTATAAGCCATTGGATAGAATAAATTATCTCCCTCGCATCAATCAATCAAAATCTGGCATTTAAAGATGAAATATAACTATATGTTTCGTTTCTGCAATTCGTGTTGGTTGAAGGCCTGAAAGAAACTTACTACCTAAAGTGTTGAAAAATATTAATGATGCTATTTGATATACTCATAACTTTTTTAATTTTACTTCCAAGTGGCCAACGATTTATCTTTTGCATATGTTCTCCTTTAAAACTCAGTCTAACTGAAAAAACTGATGGTTAATTAAAAAAAAAAAATGGGTGTACACTCAAACAAACATTTTCCAGAATGTAAAGAAATAATAAACACGTACACACTTGCAAGTAGATAGGAAATATTAACGACATAATTGAAGAGATTTAAGTTATACAGAAGGGACGTAATTGAAACTTTTTTTTATTATAAAAGGAAGTAACATGCGCAATTGTTATCAGCCCGATTATCTGAGACCAAGACACTTGTTTAAGTGCTTGATAGCATATGTTTGACTTTATACGAACTTGTAATATGAACTGGCATTTGGTTAAATACATTGTAATGTAATTAATTGACATATAATAACATTGCAAAAGTAGTCATTAAAATTACAATAACACATTTTTTGAAAAATTAGAAAAGTATGAAATTAATAACAGATTTAATTTTAAGAACAACTATATTAAATATTTCAGTAATTTACAGTGTGCTTGTGCTATTAGGTCGGTCTTAGCTTGTGATATGCACAGTATTATTACTTAGTGTAAGAGTTCTGTTAAAATACAGTTCTCCTTAAGGACCACGAAGGCAAATAACAATTGGTGGTAGAGGATAAAATACCAAATTATTTTATTTTCGGTATTTTGCTCCCTTTATAATGATGAAAAATATACCCTTTTCTTAAAGGTTTTACTTGAAAATTAAGTATGTGTCATTTTTTGTTCCAAACGAGTAATCACTGTCCATTTTGGGGTATATATAAATGCATGTAATGTTGTCCACAATAACAAAGTTGATTTCTATGTACAAGTTAAACTTTATTTCCCAAGTTTAACTCCTTGCCAAAGTGAGGCGTTCGTTTGGCTGTACAAATTTCATGAAAACGTTAAATTCGAACCATCTTGTTGAGAGAGTCATTCTCTCTGCACCTAAATTACCATAGCAACAACTCTTTGCGCTGTCTGTAGATGGTCTGTTTCAAGGCTTAATTTCTTTCCCTGTGTAAATTACCCTCATTTTCTAATGGTAATCTAGTTTCCCGCACTTCATCCCGGTCGACCCCTACAATTGTATGTATTGTTAATTTGGTTTCGTCCTGGATATGCATGAAATATTGTCCACTGTCCGTTAAGCAGTTAACAATCAATTTATTAGGATTTGTTAAGTTCATAAGAGAATAACAAAATAGACAACAAAAGTTTTCAACGAAACTTATTTAATGACTGCTCTTTAACAACCTTGCCACTTGCATCTGCCGTTTCCATCTCTGCTGCACACACTTTGATAGCTGCACCCTCGAGGTGCAAGTCTACATTGGTTTTTGGTTTGTGGGCCTGTTTGTGGAGGATCAAACTCATATGGAATCTGCAAGTTAAACAAAATGAGAATTTTGTCATCTTAAAGATGATTTTAGTCTTCATGTTAATTTTGTGTGTTCCAATTATTCAACCATATCTGTTATATATATATCGCAAGTGCTGAATTGATTCGGTAGTACATGTAGTGTTATCAAGTAGAACTACAGGATGTGGTATGATTGCCAATGAGACAATAATTCACAATTAATTGAAGGCCGATGATATCTAGAACTATAGCCCTGTTACAGCTTTCGGCACTGTACAAAACGCACACCATATAGTAAGCTATAAAGGGACCCAACATGAAAATATTTTAGGCAATTGAAAAGAAAAACTATTTTTTTTTTGTTCATTAAAATAAAAAGAAACAGAAAATTGATACCGTTTAAGAACAAGTTAATTAAAATCATTGTAGATTTTACATAAATTGTGTCTTAATTTACGGTCTCTTTAAACAACGTCACCTAAAAAAAAGAATATGATATCTCGTTTTTAATTATATTTCCACAGTTATAGTTTTCAATAAGTTAAAACTATTCATTTTAAACTATCTAATAAAAAAAACTTTTGCAAAAATCTAGGAAAAAGTACCAATGCTGTATAGAAATGACTTCAGAAAACGTCATGACAAAAACAAACAAGAAATAAGACGAAGGACCAACACAAGTCAATAATAAAATACATAATTATCTAGCCACTTGTGACAACTGTCGTCGTTTTAACAATAGCATAAACATACCTCACAATCGCAGTTATCTTTATATTTTCCCGCCAACCCTTTTAACAAGACCTGACTTGCACTTTTGGCTTTAACCTGGAGTCCACACAAGTTATGGCTCATTTTCCCATTGTACAGGGAAACTATTATGTGAAAAAATATAAAAACAAAGTAAATGTAAATCGAATATGTCACTGCTGGTAGATGTTTCCTCCCCAAGGATATCACTAGCAAAGCACTTCTGTGTTGACATGAATTATCATTGATATGGTCATAATTATAAATCAACTGTTAACAAAACGTTTGAGTTTTTCAAATTTTAATCCTGGTATCTATGATGAGTTTATTTAAAACCACGGGGTTGATGCCACTGCTAGTGAAGGTTTGCTCCCCGATGGTATCACCAGACCAGTTGTCAGCACTTGTGTCGACATGAATTATCATATAAATTAACTGTTTACAAAACTTTAAGTTTTTCGAAATAATAAGAATTTTCTACCCAAAGAATAGATTACCTTAGCTGTAATTGACAAAACCTTTCGAAATGTTGGGTCCTCAATGTTCTTCAACTTTGGTCTTTTTTTTTTTGGCTTTTTTAAAATGTTTGGATCCGAGTGTCACTGATGAGTCTTTTTTAAACGAAACCCACGTTTGGAGTACAAAATGTTGATTCTGGTATCTATGATGAGTTTATATTACTCCCAACCATGTGTCGTGGTTGATACCACTGCTAGTGGAGGTTTACTCCCTGAGGTTATCACCAGCCCAGTAGTCAGCACTTGAGTGTCGACATGAATGATCATTGATAAGGTTATAATTATAAATTAACTCTTTACAAAACTTGAAATTTTTCGAAATAATAATGATTTTTCTACCCAAGGAATAGATTGCCGTAGCTTTATTTGACAAAACCTTTCGGGATTTTGGGTTCTCAATGCTCTTCAACTTATTACATTTTTTGGCCTTTTAAACTTTTTTGATTCGAGCGTCACTGACGAGTCAGAACGTGCATCTCGCGTACATATTTTAATCCTGGTATCTATGATGAGTTTATATTACATACAACCATGTGTCGGTTCATAATATTTATGATTTTGGAACATTTTATTTTTCGTTTCACTAAATGAAATATACGGCATGTTATTGGTGATATTTCCATCTTTTGCAGCGTTGTTAGCCAATCACAAAGTTTTAATAAATACACTCATAACGCATGTTATACTTCAGTTTGTAATGGCGAACATTGTTTTACCTGATAAAATATAACTGGATCCTACACTGAGAACTACAGGACCACATTCTGCACTTGATTTTGGTGTCTCTAGGGTCTTTTTATCAGACAACTTATCATATTCCATCTTACCCTGTCAAAACAAATATTAAATAATAACATTTTAGCGCTTATATCCTGTAACATATATTACACGTATCTAAAATACACATCTTTAGTTGTTAACTTAAATGTCATTTGGTCTCTGGTGGAGAGTTGTCTCATTTGCAATCATACCACATCTTCTTTTTTTTTTTATATCTTTAGAAGATTATTCGAAGAGCATTACAACCCAAACTGAACTTAAATTCTTAAATTAGTTCAAATGTCCTTGCAAAAAAAAACAAACCCAAAAGCATGTAGCATATACAAAGTTATTTTCGATCACAAAAAGAGAAGTTTCATCAGTTTGGTCGAGTTTTTTTTTTCTGTAGAAAAAAGCAGTGGGTGGAAAATCTCAAATGAAATACTGACACAAAAATAACGTTTTATCATGTTATCATTGTTCACCGTGAAAAAGTCGTAAAGAGGGAATTTGTAGTTTGAATCATGTACAAAAATCGATATAAACCAAACCCACCCACAACCCCTCTTCCCCTAGATTCTCAAATCTCAATAGAAAAAATATTTGTCTGATATTAAACGGGGAAATAATGTCCAATTTGAATTGTATTCTTTGTTCGTTTATATTCTTATGAATTCCTTTGTACATATGACGATAACGATAATTGTCAATACTTACATAATAAAATTTTGTCACAGATATTTGATAGTTGGTCTGCAAGTTATCTGATGCGAACGCTTCAACTTTTGCCACAACGACTGTGAAAGAAGCAAGAGACAATTCATTGTTCACATTTTATATTGACCGCTGAACTGCGAGTTTTTCTCGCACAAAAAGTCGGCATTTTTAATATCAAGAATATCAAGAACTTAAAACGCTGAATTAAATCTCTGAAAGGATTATATTTTAACTATTATTGCTATTATGGAATTCCTTTGGTGAAAACCAAATAAAATGAGTTGTTTGATAACAAGATGAAGTATTGGAAAATGTAGTATATTTTTAAGAGGGGTGCTGATTTCCTAAATCACGCTTTTCTGTAATTTTTTCCGACTTCCAACTTAGTTCCTTTTTTTCACAGATCCTACTTCCCCCCTAATATCCGGCATCTCTACTATTTGTATGCCTATATCAAAGATAAAAAAACGTGTATTCCATTTTTATAACTGAGAAAATCAGAAACTTTTCTGACATCGTCAAACAAACATGATATAAGGCTGAACGTGCTTCGCTATTCTTTCTGGTTTATGCCTTGTTCAAATAGTGATATAATTTCGACAATGAACTGTACTTATTTTGTATTGTTATACTGTTCTTTGAAACATTTATTATTTTCTAAAATGATTGTCTTGTTTTTTAAATCATCGCTATAACATGTTGCAATATTTACGTAACACATGGAACCCTTCATGCCGTTAGACAAAAAAAAATGGTCTTACCCAATTTGGAGTCACACACGACTTGCTGTGTATACTGTGCTGGACATCCACATTGTTCGGACATTGAAAATAACAAAATTAACAAAAAACATGACTGTATCATCCCAGTTCTCATTTTGCAAATAATGAAGCTGACTATCTGACAAACTCTAAAATGTTAGATGATAAAATGGTGTCTTTATATATGCATATAAATACCTGAAGCAAAACTCAGGTAAATTAAAAAATTAAAATCCGGCTGGCCTCAAATTAACGCGGCTGTTTGCATGGCATTGATTAATACGATCATACATAGCAACAAACATTTCCTGGGGGAAATCCCTCTGGCAAAAATGTAGTTTATAAAAATACAACAGGTGTAAGTAATTTAAAACGCAGTAGTAATTAAAAGTTATACATTTTGTAATTTCCTTAATTAAATATTGTGTCGTTTTATCACAAATAACAACAAATAAATGCACGCTAAGTCATATGATACTATTATAATATATTTTCTAAATTGTCTAAACTTCATGATTACTTTTTAGAGAACTGTATAAAGAAGTATTAAAAATGTTATTAATTATTGATTAGCGATCAATGGTAAAAGTGTGGTCTGGAATCTTGAGTCGTAAGATATTATTATGAAAGATTTTTTTTCATCTTACAAAAACTGGAGACGCATGAGGTATAAGAATAAATTGGTAAATATAGTAGTGCAAAACAATTTATCAGTCGTATTGTGCACATAAATTATCAAATTATATATCATTTTTTAAAGTGTTTGCTAATATGATTTTATTAGAAGTTAATTTTAGCAACATGCTGCACTCTAAAGTGCTACCAGGAAAACACAAGTAAATAAGATGAAACTGAATAAGAATTTAACGAGAAAATGCAAACCATGTAATAAAAGCCTGTTTCGCTAATCCAGACTCCATATCATCTATTTCGAACTTACTTTCAGGATCTAAATTAGTAAAGTCGTTTGTATCAAAACCGATTAGAATTTGACAGCAGAACTATAGCCGTCTGATCCCATTTATGACTGAAAGATTGTAACTTCTGTAAGAGAATATTTTATTCATCATCATCTATATCATCAACAATGATAATCGGGATTCACAGTAATCGTATATCTTATTCCAAGACGATTGACTGATTGAAAATTGGTTGCTTAACGTCCAACTGCGAATATTTCATGCAGGTTCAGAACGAGAACAAATTAACAATAAATAAAATAGGTAGTTCTTGTAATAGAGGCCGTCCGGGAAGAAGGTCGGGGATATTTTAACTGCCACTGGAAAATGAAGGTCCATTGAATATGGACAGTAATTTGGCCTTGCGACAGGCCACCTACGGACCACTAAATGAGTTGTTACAAGGGTTCTTAACGCGCAGAGAGCGTGGCACTCTCGCTACACGAGGCATCGGATTTAACGTCCCCATTCTGACTGGACGTGGCTGCGTACTTGATACATTTTCGCACAGCCAAATGAACACCCCACTTTGGCAAGGGTTTTACTGCCGATCGGAAGAAGACCTGTAGTGACCAAGTCACATTTGGGGGGTATTCAAAGACAAAGTGAAACAGAGGTGTATCTAAAAAAAACACTCAGAAACAAGATCGATCAATTGTTGGTTGCTTTACGTCCAGAGACCGTCCGGGATGAATGTCGGAGTATTTAAAATGCCGCTGGAACATTAGGGAAATTGGATTTGGACATACATTTTTCCTTGCAACAGGCCACCTACGGATCCCTTAAAAAATGTTGCAAGGGTTCTTAACGTGCAGAGAGCGTGGCGCTCTCTCCAAACGAGATATCGGATTTAACGTCCCCATTCTGACCAGACATGGTTGCATACTTGTACATCCCTCACAGTCCAAACGGACGCCCCATTTTGGCAAGGGTTTTACTGCAGGTCGGAAGAAGACATGTAGTGATCATATTTCTATTCCCCAGTCACCCTTGGAGGCCAGAAAAAAGACAAAAAGATTATAATTACCCATTACACAGTTGACAAATATTTACCCAAAGGAAGTTACATTAAATAAGTCTAATATAAACAGCATAATTGTCTTTGTCTTGGGTCTGATATTTACTTTGACATTGTCAGATCATTCTTGAGACGATTTTTTTCTGCTTTTTGTTATTTGACCTTTTTTGTACGGGTTCAAGTTCCCTTGGCGCATTCTTACGTACGGCGTTTATATTTCCAATCTCCTGCGATATGTCCGTGTATATGGTGAGGCTTAATATTTAAATGAATATTATCTATGTATTCCTGATAAATTATTAAATCTGAGATTTTGGTACCACTAAATTTTGGTTCACTAACTTCTCTCACTACAAATAAAATGTTTGGAAGTGTTGATTAAGAATTCTTAAAACGACTGAGATATTACTTACTGATTTTTACGTTGATGGTCATATGCATCGTCAATTAAGATCAAATTCATATCAACCCTTTTCCTTCATAGTCTCATTCTCAATGGTTATCAATTCAGCATTCATTGCTGTAAGTTCTTGAAATGTTGTGGTATTCAGTAATTTCATTGATTTTTAAATATCATATTGTTAAATAAACGTTTCATTGATTTTTTAATAGTCAAATACATGTAATTTAACAAGTATTGCTATACAAATATTTACAATAAGCAACGAGCGCAATTATCAATTAATTCTAGTGACGATTTTTACATCTCTTAGATTTTCATACCTTGGACTTACAAAATGTCGTGTTTCTTTTTCAAATGATTTTTGAGCTGTACTGAATGACATTTTTGACCGGAAAAAAACATGGTTTATTTAATTTAATAATTCAAAATTAAGTACCAAACAGGAACTGCGAAATCGGTGATTTGTGTCTCTTTTCTCTGTCGTTGTATCATTTGTATTTGTGACTAGTACCAATCTGATAAATAGAGCCCATTGAGACGGATTTTTGGCAGTCTATTGTAATGTTGTTCGTTACATTAAATAGGAAGATAGAGAGCTCATAAATATGTTAAACTGCGTCACATTTAGTATGTGCCTTAAACAAATCGGGAACGTATATTATAGTGGTGGTTAGCTTTATTATTTTTTTATCATTGTTTAAGAATAAATTAGGCCATTGATTTTCTCGTTTGAATGGTTAAAAATGCCACGGCCTTTTATAGCCTATGTTACGGTATACAGGTTATGTCCATTCTTGAATGCCGTATAGTGAGCGGTAAATGTTCATATATTTCTTCTTAAGTACGTATGGATATTTATCATCATATGTGTGTGTATTGTGTAATAGTATTATCTTTTAACTTCATGATCTGCTATACATTTAATGTCCTCTCACTTAATTATTCAGACTTAATTTACTATGTTGGTCAATTTTTTCCCAATGAAATTGAGATAAAAGTTTAGTTCATATTTTGCCTGGCTTTCAAATTTTTATGTCGAAGACTTCTGATAAAGGTTAATCCAGAATAGAGCTTTGGATTGATTGATAGTTGGTTGGTTAACGTCCAGTGGCAAATATTTCATGCATGTTCAGGACGAGAACAAATTAACAATAAAATCCAATAGGTATTTCCTGTATTAAAGGCTGTCCTTGCTAAATGTCCGGGGAATTTTGACTGCCACAGGAAAATGAGTGTATTGGATAGGGACATAAATTTAGTCTTGCCTCTCCATATTTCTATATTGCAACAGGCCACCTACGGACCCAAAGAGTTGTTGATGTAATGGTTCTTAACGTGCAAAGAGCGTGCCACTCTCTTTCAACGAAGCATCGGATTTAACGTCCCCATTCTGACCGGACATGGCTACGAACTTGTACATCTCGCACAGCCAAACGGAAGCCCCACTTTGGCGAGGGTTTTACAGCCGGTCGAAGGAAGACCAATGGTGAACATATTTCCACTTCCCAATCACATTTGGGGAAAATAGTTTTGGACGGAAATTAATTAAGTTATTTTCTTTCTTTTGTTTTTGTTTTACCTGAAAAGTTACAGTGCAGAACTTCTTTTACTTCCATTTACAAGAAATTATTTATTTTTCAACTGTTAATTTTCCGTTGATTTACGTAGAAGCCACATTCCAGCTGCATATTTGGGGTATATATCTCAAGGTTGATAATTTTTTCTAATTTAAATTTTGTTCGATTGTGTTCCTTTCATCATTTGCATGGAGGGCTGTTGCTACCATAAAAGCCACTGCATAAATGGTACTTAATGGTCAAGTTGAAGTCATCTTTTTAAACTGTGACTGCAATTTTAGTATTTTAAGGAACAGATGACCAAGGACATGTTTATGTAAACTCCATTCCCCTTAATTGGTTCCAAAAGTACAAAATAGCAATTGTTACAGACTTTTACATGAGGCGAAGGGTGCAAATGATGAAACAGGAATTGCTTACCCATCTGCAGCTCTTGAATTCAATCCGATATTGTAAGTGCGCTTCGTGTTCCTCAATCGTTAGTTATCATATGATGTCTGGTCTATAGAGTTTGGTCTGTCGTTTCGTTTCATTTCTATTGGCAATCGTTTTGTGCATTTTGGCTCCCGGTTCTTTTATTGCAATCTGGTTTCCTTTTATCTTTCTAATAGCATAATTACTTAGGCGAAACAAAACTGTACTATTGAAATGCATCATTTGGACCATATTAGTCACAATATCAAGTTGTTGTTAAAGTTTGTTTGTCGACCTTAAAATGTATTTATGTTGTTAGGTTAATTTCAAATACATGGACAGAAGATACAAAAGAGACTATCGTAATTAATAAGAAGAAAAATCTACAAGCAGATCATGGGAATAAACAACAAAAAAGGTTTATGCAGTACAAAAAAAAACTAAAGACAGCTAAAACATAACAAACCGCGTCAAACTGAAGTGTTGGAAAATTCTACTCGATTGTTTGCATGCACCAATATGTAAAATGCGTCTGCTCAGCTGAATATACCAGTAGAGGAGGCAAGTAGCAACACAATAAGGCTATAAAAATGAAAAGCAGTTCAAGGTATTGATTCATTGATTGAAAATGTTGCACTAGATCAGGGTCCTAAACAAGGCAAGCACATACATTCATATGGGAGTAACAATGGAGGTATAACACTTTGACTGCGATGAATGGTCGTCTATATAGTAGTTAAGATATAAATGATGATACATTGCAGTTGCATTCTGTGATCACAAATAACTTTTCAAAAACAGAATTGCAG